CAAAACCTTCGATCAATGCAATCAACTTCTTTCCGCTAAATATCCTTTTCAAATCGTTTATGTGAGTGTGAAAGATATCTTCCTCGATAAGTCTAATGAATTCTTGAATCTTCAGATAAACCAGAAGGTGCATTTCTTCCTTAATCATTTCTGGAATCGGAGTAAACGCATCTAGTTCTTCGTCCCATTCCGCAGAAACCTTTCTTCTCCATTTTATAACACCAGGAACACTGTATTGAAATTCGTTGATCGTCATCAACTTCGGTTCTAAAGTTTCCTTCAACAAAGAACCTAAAGGTTCTTTCATTAAACTTTCATCGACGTCGATGATCAATTCTCTTGTCATTTCTAGCTTGTCGTGTTTTAGTTTATTGAGTTGCTGAAATTGCCTTTCTTTTTGTTTTTCCGCCTCTCGTTCCCCCTGTCGAAACAACGAATTTTTGTAAGATATTCCGTGCACATGATAGGTTCTATGACCTCTATACAATACCTTTCTACGCTGACGTTCTAACTTTTTATCTTCATTTTGACGATGCTACACAATCAGATGTATTTATGATGGGTACTTTTATGATTATTTAAAAAAACATGCAAACATCTTGTTGACATCAACCTTTTCGAACTTTTCCGAGTTCCTCGTATGTTGTTCTTCCTGTTTCACGACGTCGACTGGATTTGAGCCGATGTTCTCTTTGTTCCTACCCAAAAGGTCGCATTTTTCTACAATCACAGAGTCCAGCCCAACGTTTACTTGATTGACGACGCGTCGATGCAAATCTGTTGACTTAATTGATCCCTCGATTTTGGAGATTTGATCACACGGCTTATACAAAATCAAATTGTTAACAACGTTAACAGATTTTGTCAAATCAATCGTTTCAAATGCCTCATCGCTTGATTTATTCAACATCCAGTTTTCTTGATTCCCATACGCGTTCGTATTCAAAACAGAATGGAAAGTACTTTCTGAAAAATTTGAATCGATATCTTCATTTATTTTACTTTCTTTAGATAAATTAGGAGATTTCGTCTGTTTAAAATGAGAATTCGTTGAGATTAAAAATTAAGCAGGTAGCTGTATGGACGAAGAAGACGTACATGTTCGATTGATGAGGTGAACTTATCTTTTCTACATTAGGGTAGAAATTTATTGTAACATAATCCAAATTGTGTAAAATTCGCGTCCATTCTGATTTCGAATGTTACCTTGAAAAAAGTTCAGGTTTTGAGAATGAATTCATCTGCGTCAATTCAACGTCGGAATTTTCAAGTGTGCTCATGGTCGGAGGTAATTTTA